AAGGAAGTTTATAGTATTAAGTGCTTACATTAAAAAGAGAAATGTCTCAAATTACAGATTTAATAATGAATCTGGAAGACCTTCAAAATCCAGAACAGACTAAACCCCAAATCAGCAGGAACAAGAAATAATAAGGATCAGAGCAGAAATACATGAAATTTAACACCCCCCCAAAAAAAAAACAAAAAACAAAAAACACAAAAGATCATCAATACAAAAAGTTGAAGATAAGCAAAATAGAGAAGGCTCTAGCCAGACTGAAAAAGAAGAAAAGAAAACTCAAAGTTAGAGATGAAAAAGAAGAGATTACAACCAACACCACGGATATACAAAGGATCATAAGAAACTACTATGAAGAACTATATGCTAAGAATCAGGAAAACCTCAGAGAAATGGAAAAATTCCTGGATTCATATAACATATCTACATTAAATCAAGAATATAATTGATAACCTAAACAGACCCATAACAAGCAATGAGATTGAAGCAGTTATCAAAAATCTCCCATGGGGCCAGAGCTGTGGCGCAGTGGGTTAAAGCCCTGGCCTAGCATCCCATATGGGCGCCAGTTCATGTCCTGGATGCTCCACTTCCAGTCCAGATCTCTGCTGGGAAAGCAGTAGAAGATGACCCAATTCCTTGGACCCCTGCATCCACGTGGGAGACACAGAAGAAGCTCCTGGCTTCAGATCAGCTCAGCTCTGGCCACTGTGACCATCTGGGGAGTGAACCAGTGAATGGAAGACCTCTCTCTGTAACTCTTTCAAATCAATAAAATATATCTTATAAAAAAAAAGTCTTCCATCAAGAAAAAGTCCAGGACCTACCTGATACCTTTACTATGAATTCTACAAAACATTCAAAGATGAAGTAACTTCAGTACTCTTAAAACCATTCCAAAATCTTGAACATGAGGGAACACTGCAAAAATCTTTTTATGAGGCCAGCATTACTTTGATAGCAAAACTGAACAAAGACACAACACAAAAAGAAAGCTACAGATGTATCCTTAATGAATATAGATGCAAATATTCTTATCAAAATACTAGCAAACTGAATTCAAAACCACATGAAAAAGCTCATACATCACCATCAAGTAGGATTTATTCTAGTAATGCAAAGGTGGGTCAACATTTGCAAATCGATAATTTTGATCAACAGAATGAGGAAAAAATATGGTCATCTCAATATATGCACAGGAAATATTTGAAAACCCTCCACAAATTAGGTATTGAAGAAATATTCCTTAAAATTATAAAGGTTATTTGTCACAAACCAACAGCCAATAGCATACTGATTCGGGAAAATCTGAAAGCATTTCCCTTGAGATCTGGATCAAAACAAGGATGTCCACTTGTTCTATATAGTACTGGTAGTTTTAGCAGGAACAATTAGGATAGAGAAAGAAATAAAGAGCATGAAAATTGGAAAAGAGGAAGTCAAAATATTCATGTTTGCAGATGATATGATGTTGTACACGGAAATAAGACTATCAAAAACTGTTAGTATTAATAAACCGATCCAGTAAAGTTGCAGGTTATAAAATAAACATACACATACACATAGCTTTTGTGTATGCTAATGATAAATTCACAGAAAGAGAAATCAAGAATTAAATATTTAAGAAGAAATTTAACCAAAGAAGTGAAGGGTCTCTATAAAGAAAATGATCAAACATTGGTGAAAGAAATCATCAAGTACACAAAAATATGGAGAGGTAATTCCTTGCTCATGGATTGGAGGTATCAATAACAAAAATGTCTATTTGCCTAAAGCAATCAACAGATTCAATGCAATTTCTCTCAAAATACTAATGACATCCTTTACAGAATTAGAAAAGGCAATACTAAAATTTATGTGGAATCACAAATGACTCAGAATAGCCAGTGATCCTGAACAAGTAAAATAAAGATGGAGCCATCACAATACCTGACTTCAAAGTATACTACAAATCTACTGGAAATAAAACAGCATGGTACTACCATAAAAGCTGATATATAGATCAATGGAACAGAACAGAGAGCTTGGAAATTAATCCAAATACGTGCAGCCAAGTGATTTCTGACAGAAGTACTCAGACTACACAGTGGAGTAAAGATTTTTTTTTAAAGATTTATTATTTTATTTATTTGAAAGACAGAGTTACAAAGAGGGGTAGAGACAGAGAGAGAGGTCTTCAATCTGCTGATTCACTCCCCAGATGGCTGCAACAGCTGGAGCTACGCTTATACAAAGCCAGGAGCCAGGAGCTTCTTCTGTGTCTCCCATGTGGGTGCAGGGGCCCAAGGACTTGGGCCATCTTCTACTGCTATCCCAGGCCATAGCAGAGAGTTGGACTGGAAGTAGAGCAGCCAGGACACGAACTGGCGCCCATATGAGATGCCGGCGCTTCAGGCCAGGGCTTTAACGTGCTGCACCACAGCACTGGCCCCCATGGAAGACTTTTGATTACTGCTTCAATCTCATTGCTCTTCAGGCCAGGGCTTTAACCCACTGAGCCACAGCACTGGCTCCTTAAGGATACTTTTTAACATACAGTGCTGGCAAAATTGGAGATGTGTGTGTGTGTGTGTGTGTGTATAATATGAATGAAATTAGATCCATACCTTTCATCTTATACAAAACCAACTCAAGATGGATCAAAAACCTAAATTTAAGACACGAGACTATGATGCTGCTGGAAGAATACAGAGGGGAAATACGGGGACAACTTCTTGGACAAGACCCCTAAAGCACAAGCAACAGAAGCAAAACTAAACAAAGGTGACTATATCAAACAGCAGTATTTGCACAGCAAAGGCAATGATCAACAGAGTGAAGAGACCTCCAACAGAATGGGAAAAAAATCTGCAAACCACTTGACAAAGGGTTAATTTTCCAAACATACTAGGCAACTTAAAAAAAATTCAACAAAAAAACAACCAATGCAGTTGAGAAATGGGCAAAAGGCTGCAATAGACAGTTCTCAAAAGAAGAAATACAACAAATCTATGAAAAAATGCTCAACATCTCTAGCCATCATAGAAATGCAAATCAAACCACAATGAGATATCAGCTCACCCTTGTTAGAACAGCTGAAATCCAAAACAGAGAGAGTAACAAATGCTGGTAAGGATGTGGGCAAAGGGGAACCCTTATACACTACTGATGAGAATGTAAGTTAGTGTAGCCACTATGGAAAACACTATGGTGATTTCTTTAAAAACTAGAAATAAGACTCGCCATATGATCCAGCAATCCCACTGCTGGGTATATACCCCGAAGATTTGAACACAGTGTATCAGAGAGATACCTTACCTACTACATTACATTCATAGCAGCACTGTTCATAAAGCCAATATTTGCATCAACCAAGGTGTCCATCATCATATGAATGGATAAAGAAAATATGGTATATATACACAATGGAGTATTATTCAGCCATAAAAAAAGAATGAAATCCTACCATTTGCAGCAAAATGGACACAACTGGAGGACATCATATTGACTGGAATAATCCAGACCCAGAAAGACAAATACCACATGTTCTCCCTTATATGTGGGAGCTAAAATTTAAAAAACAAAAAACAAAAAAACAAAAAAGAAAAAAGAAATGTGTTTATCAGTATTGCTGCAAATAGTTTTATAAAACTTTGTTTTATACTTTGGTGAAACCAATCATTAAGAATGTTATACTACTATGGTTTTAATGATCTATGATAGCTTTAAAATGTACTATATATGAGTTAAATGATCATTTTTCCATTCAATTACTGTTTTTATCCATTATCCAGATTCCCACTACATAGGGTCTTTTTGCTTTTTCTTTGTTAAACTTCTTATTTGTTAAAGTATTAAGCCTTTTTACTGTAATGTACATTTAAAATATGTTATCTCAAAAACTAAAAAAACACAAAAAACAAGAGAGAGATGAAGGACGGTGGGTGGAAGATAAAGGCAATATCATTATGTTCTAAGAACTGTATCTATAAATATCATTGAATCTGTTAAAAACTAAAAATTTAAATAAAAAATTAAAAACAGTTAAGTGATCTAATTTTAAGCTTCATCGTTTGTTTTACTAGGAAGACAATAAAGTCTTAGTGTTATTGTAAAAAAATACTCATTGTGTAGATAATGTCTCTTAATATTAACAATATTGTTCATACTGCTGAGTCCTTGTTAACAATGTCAGAGATTTTTAATACATATTCAACATTTTTATTATCCATAAAATAATTTATAGGGTTTATATTTTATTTAATTAATTTTTGCTCATCTTCAATTATTAAGCTTCTAAATCATTTGGACAAGTCTCAAAATTTTGTAAATGGAAAAGATTTAAAAGTTTACTATAATTTTCAATTTGTCATGAAAGAAATTTATTTTTATATAATTAGATAACTTAAAAACTATTCATTGAAAGGCAGAGAGAGAGAGAGAGAGAGAGAGAAAGAGAGATTGATCTTTCATCTGCTGGTTCACTCCATAAATGGGTTTGGCTTTGTGCAGTCCAAGGTACTTCTGCTCAGTGTTCCTCTCATCTGTTCAGTGCATGCTCACCTTGACTGTCTCACTGCTATGTGCCAGGGCTGCCAGGTGGGCATGGGGGTGAGAGGTGCCTCCTCACTCTTTGCCTCTGCATTCCTTCCATGCCGAGGGTCCAAGCTGAGTACCCTGCAGGGAGAGCTACACTTGGGCGTCGTTTCCCTTTGCACAGAGTTCAGGCTTCACTAATGTGGCCTGGCTCCCCTGCGTCACCACCAGCTCACCTGGGCCACCTTCTGCTGCCATCTCAGGCATATAAGCAGGGAGCTGGATCGGAGTGGAGCAGCAGATCCTTGAACAGGATTCAGATATAGAATGCTGGCATTGAAAAAGGCAGCTTAGCTCACTGTGCCACAGCACAAACCCCTAAAAAGAACTTCTCATATAACTTACTGAAGAGCTACAAATTCTAACAGTGAAAGTATTTGTCTTTTGGTTAACTGCAAGTTATTACTAAACAAAACAATTATTACCTTAATTGGAGGGCAGTGAGAATGGCAGAAGTCATTGATCTTCTTCTGCAAGGGGAGTTTCATTTCAGTCAATACTACACACTGTTGAGAATACAAAAAATTAAAGACTGCAAAATACGGTTATTTTGGTAATACACAACTTTCAATTTGGCATCATGTTACTTTGCATTGTGGTAAAGATACACTAGTATTCTAGTTAAAAAACATTCACTATCTTATTGTATTCCATACTAAAGTTAAAACAGTTAAAGCACAGAATAGTGAAAGTAAAAACAATATGTATGGGGGAAAACTGGTTCACATTTATATTATACTCAATTGCTAGCACAGGTTTCACAATTAGAAGCAAATAATATCCTATTCAATATTTAGGCATACTCCAAATGGCTAGATTTATTTTATCTATTTTATCTACCACTGTCATGGGAAGTACTAACCTAGCAACCACCCTGTTATTTTCATGCTACCTAAAAAGGGTTACAAATATACTTTTCTTTTAAAGATTTATTTATTTATTTGAAAGGCAGAGTTCTAGAGAGGCAGATGCAGAGAGAGAGAGAGAGAGAGAGAGAGAGGTCTTCCATCCACTGGTTCACTCCCTAGATGGCTGTAATGGCTGGAGCTGGACAGATTTAAAGCCAGGAGCTGGGAGCTTTTTCTGGGTCTCCCACACAGGTGCAGGGGCCCAATGACTTGGGCTATCTTCTACTGCTTTCCCAGGCCATAGCAGAGAGCTAGATCAGAAGTGGAGCAGCCAAGACTTGAACCGGTGCCCAAATAGGATGCTGGCACTGCAGGCAGTGGCTTTACCCCCTATGCCACAGTGCTGATCCATACAAATATCTTTTTAAAACATATATTGAGGGGCTGGCATTGTGGTGCAGTGAGTAAAGCCACTGCCTGTGATGTCAGCATCCCATATAGGCATGGGTTCGATTTCGGCTGCTCCACTTCTGATCCAGCTCCCTGCTAACGTGCCTGGGAAAGCAGCAAAAGATGGCCCACAAACTTCGGTCCCTGCATCCATATCAGAGAACAGGAAGAAGCTCCTGGCTTTGGACTGGCCCAGCTCTGGCTGCTGTGGCCATTTGGGGAGCGTACCAGCAGATAGAAGGTATCTCTCTCCCCCTCTCTGTATCTCCCTCTGTCTCTCTAGAATTCTTTTAACAACAACAACAAAAATAAATATTAAAAACAAACATGTTAATTCATTTTGCTTCCTTTCATTTCTGAGATTCAACAGATATATAATAATAACTTTTGCTTTATGAAAGTGTCATTAGTGAATAAATCAACAAGTTCTGATTTTTAAGATGGCAAATAATTTTCAATGGTTAATTTTTTATGGTTACTCTGTGGGATAAATACAAAAAGTTTTTCAGTCAGATTTTACGATAAGTATCTTAGACACAAAGAGGTCAAATATTTTCTTAAGGTCATTTTTCTACCAAGTAGCAGAAGCAGAACTAGACTTTTAGTCTGCTGTTTTTCATGAATCAAATAACTCAGTTAGAAATGTCCAGATTTAGTTTTGTTTATCTAGCTCAGAATATGGTTTGCTTCCTGTAGTGAGATGTTCTCTCATTAGTTTCCCATTCTTTAAATATATCTCACATGAATGCAAGGCCCTAACTACTCTTTAATTTTCTTTATGATTTTTTAAAAAGATGTATTTATTTATTTGACAGGCAGAATTAGAGAGACAGAGGCAGAGAGAAAGGTTTTCCATCTGATGGTTCACTCCCCAGATGACTGAAACAGCTGGAGCTGTGCTGATGTGAAGCCAGGAGCCTCTTCCGGGTCTCCCATATGGGAACAAGGACCCAAGGACTTGGGCCATCTTTTACTGCTTTCTCAGGCCACAGCAGAGAGCTGGATTGGAAGTGGAGCAGCTGGGACTCGAACTGGCACCCATATGGGATGCCGGTGCTGCAGACTGGAGCTTTAAACCAGTGCGCCACAGCATCAGCCCTTTAACCACTCTTTAATTGGGGCCGTTTCTCAGGATTCTATTTGCCCTGTAAAAACCTGAGAAATGAAGCAATATCTCCCTTAAGCATAAAGAGAAGGCTTAATTACTGCTTGTTATAAAACAGTAGGCTCAGGGACTGTCTTGGTGTGGTGGTGTAAGCTGCCACTTGCAACATAGCCATCCCCTAGGGGAGTGCTGGTTCGAGTCCTGGCTATTCTTTTTTTTTTTTTTTTTTTTTAAGATTTACGTATTTATTTGAAAGGCAGAATTACAGAGAGAAAGGAACAGAGATATCTTCCATCTGATAGTTCACTCCCCAAATGGCTGAAGCCAGGAGCTTCTTCTGGGTCTCCCATGTGGGTGGCAGGGATCAAACACTTGGGTTATCTTTCACTGCTTTTCCCAGGCCATTAACAGAGAGCTGGACTGGAAGTGGAGCAGAGAGACTCAAACTAGCACCCATATAGGATGCTGTAGCATTGCAGATGTTGGCTTAATCTGCTATGTCACAAAATCAGCCCCTAATGCATTCCTTTAAGATGTAGTAAGTTGGAAATCTGAAAATCTCCAATAATTATATTATCTGAAATTCCTGAAGATCTAATTCTAGTTTGTTATAGCTACTGACTCTTGATCATGTTTAATTGCTTTTTCCTATCTTGTTATTCCAGATTGTGAACCGATCCTTAAAGGGGCTGTATATGGCCAGCACCGCGGCTCACTTGGCCAATCCTCCGCCGGCGGTGCCGGCACCCCAGGTTCTAGTCCTGGTTGGGAAGCTGGATTCTTTCCTGGTTGCTCCTCTTCCAGTCTAGCTCTCTGCTGTGGCCTGGGAAGGCAGTGGAGGATGGCCCAAGTGCTTGGGCCCTGCACCTGCATGGGAGAACAGGAGGAAGCACCTGGCTCCTGGCTTCGGATTGGTACAGTGCGCTGCCCACAGCGCACCGGCTGTGGCGGCCGTTTGGGGGGTGAACCAACAGAAAAAAGGAAGACCTTTCTCTCTGTCTCTCTCTCTCTCTAACTCTGCCTGTCAAAAAAAAAAAAAAACGGGCGGGGGGGGGGGGCTGTATAAATACACTGTGGCCTAGTTGAAGATATATTCTGGATTTGTTTAGTATTTTTTCTGTCTGGTATTCTAGGTATGGCACTACACTGCTACATTTTATGTTACAGTCTCAGCTTAGGAATTTATGGACTGCAAAGGATTATGAAACTGATCTCCAATCTGTGTGAGGGCAGGTCTATAGTTATGAATTCCCAGGGAAGACATATTTTTTTAAAGGGAAGACATTTTCCATTCAGAGTTCCAGAAAAAATCGAGAAGCTTCTCATTCTGATGGGTAAAGATTGTTCTGATCCATCCCTTCAATAAGAGTGTAGTTTTCTCAGGTTCCAGATTTACAAAAAGGAAGGAAGTCTCAACTTATTTCTCTAGCTCAGGGGTGGGGACTGACTGGTTCACAGACCATATAAGGCCCAAAAAATCATTTGGTCTGCGCCTGCCAAGGCAACTATAGGAGGAACTCAAAATTCATTAAATCTATAACAGGATAATTCTGTATGGCTGTGAATAACATTATAAATATCCAAATGGATCTTGGTAGAAAAAGAAAAAAGATTCCTCACCCTTGCCAAGTCTAGCTTATGGAGACCTGGATCTCAATCCTTTGTTTCTGTGTGACTATCAATTCCCAAGAACTTCTGTGACTGCAACAGGCAACTGTTGTCTGAGAGTGACTACAGATATCAGTTCACTGATCTTTTAGCTCTGAATATTGACTGTCCTTATATTATTTTGAGTTCATGTAGTCATTTAAAAGGAAGTCTGGAGGCCAGTGTTGTGGCATAGCAAATAAAGCTGTTGCCTACAATGCTTGCATTCCATATGGGTGCCGGTTCATGTCCTGGCTGCCCCACTTCTGATCCAGCTCCCTGCTAATACACCTGTGACCTGTGACGAGCAGCAGAGGATGGCCCATGTACTTGGGCCCCTGTTATACACATGAGAGACCTGGAGGAAGCTCCTGGCTTGGCCTGGCCCAGTGCTGGCTGTGAAGTGAACCAGCAAATGGAGGATTTCTCTCTCTCTTTCTCCCTTTTTCTAACTCTGATTTTCAAATAAATAAATCTTTAAAAAAGAAAATAGGGGCCAGCAATGTGGTGTAGCAGGTAAAGCTTCTGTCTGTGACACTGGCATCCCCTTTGGGCACTGGTTCAAGAGCCGGCTGCTCCATTTCAGATGCAGCTCCCCTTTAATGTGCCTGGGAAAGCAGTGGAAGGTGGTCCAAGTCCTCGGGCCCCTGCACCAACATAGGAAAACCAGAACTTCCTGGCTTTTGGCTTTAGCCTGGCACAGCCCTGACCATTGTGGCCTTTTGGGGAGTGAACTAGTAGATGGACGATCTCTCTTTCTGACTCTGCCTCTCCTCTGTGACTCTGACTTTCAAAAAGATAAATCTATAAAAAAAATAAAATAAAGGAAATTTGAAGTGTAATTCTAAGTGTAATAGGGTGGGTTTTATTTTATTCCATATAAAGTGGATCTATAATTTTTATTGATTTTTGTTATACATATTATTTACTTATTTTTATTTCAAAGGCAGAAAGATGAAAACAGAAGAAAGGCAGATCTTCCATTTGCTGGTTCATTCCCCAAATGTCCAGGCACAGCCAGGGCAGGGTGAAGCTAGGAGCCTGAAACTCAATCCGGAGCTCTCAAATGGATGACACTGACCCAAGTGGTTTAGTCTTCATTTGCTGCCTCTCAGGATACACATTAGCAAGAAGCTGAATCAGGAGCAGAGTAGCTGGGACTATTATTAGGCACTATAATATGGTAAGCAGACAGGCATCCCAAGAACAACTTAATTCCTATACCAAATTCCTGCCTCTTACACTGATATTTAAATAGGCAATAGCATAACTTAACTACAGGAAAAATCAGGATTAACCTAGTTACTTTGTTATTTTTAGAACATTCAAGGTGCTGGAAATTTATGCTGTTTTTTTAAGGAAGTGTAACTCAAAGAAGATTTATAAATACATGTATTTTACTCCTCTGATATTGTATTGTTTGCCTATGACTTAGGAAGAGCAGAATGCACTTTCCTACGTCCTGATCTGGGGTTTGACAATGTGATTAGCCAATAGGATCTTAATAGAAATAAACTGAGCCTTGAAACGTGTTAGGGGTAGGATTTTTTTCTTTTGTTTCTGCTATTGCCATCACAGAAGATAGCCTCCTCATTCCAGAAGATAGATACTAGAGGAGAACCCAGATTCTTAGTTCAATACAAGTTGAGTTCAGACTAGAACAGCTGAACTCAACTGATATGCAGATGCATGAGGAATAAATATACATGTTCATACAAATCACTGGATTTTCGGTAACTTCTCATGCATATTATAGTGAAATCGGCCAACTGATATAACTTCTTTGCCAAAAATTTTTAGGCCCTTTCTCTAAAATGGAGAATTTGAAGGGTATAACATACACCTATAGAAATCTTCTACCTTGAAATTTTTTGTTCTGCTCAATATATTGTTAAATTGGTTGTAACATATTAATATTTAACAATTTGTCTTAAAATTTGTCAACAACATTTAATACAAATGGAGTACTAACCTGGTATTGATCTAAGAATGAAAGATCTGTGGTTTCATTGAAAGGAACAGATGATGACGTAACATGCACATATGGATTTAGTTCTGCAATATGTTGAAGTACAGCTTCAGCCCTAAGGAAAAAAAAAATAAAGAATTGACCTTTACTATTGTTTCATTCAACTTAATCTCTTAAAGTTAGATACTATTATAGAAGAATCTGACATGTTAGGAAATTTAAATGGAAATCTAATAAATATAAAGGAAATCAAGACTTATTTATCTTTACAGGTTAACAATATAATCTGAAAATGTACTAATTTCCTATAATAAGTCAAACAATCTCAAAGTGTACCCTTATATTTCCAAGCTTCAAGCTCCGTAAGTCTATAAACAATTCAGCAATACTATAGACCTCTTTCTGTAATCTCAAAACTCATTTCTAGGTAGCAGTATGAATGCATCAAAAATCTGATAGATACAAATAATAATTAAATAAATATTTATCAGTACTTATTTACTTATGGAGTATGAACTTTTAGAGATGAGTTAAAAAAAATAATGACTAAACTGGTATTCTGGATACAGTGAAAAAAGGTCAAAACTCTCATGACAGGGACCAGTGCTGTGGTGTAGTGGGTTAAGCCACTGCTTGCAGCTCCAGCATCTGATATGGGCACTGGTTCTAGTCCTGGCTACACCACTTCCAAGCCAGCTCCCTGCTAATGTGCCTGAGAAAACAGTGGAAGATGGCCCAAGTCTCTGGGCTCTTGCACGCACATGGGAGACCCAGAAGCTCCTGGCTCCTGGCTTTGGACTAGTGTAGCTCCAGCCGTCACAGCCATTTGGGCAATGAATCAGCGGATGGAAGACCTTGCTCTCTCTTTGCATCAGCCTCCCCCTCTCTGTAACTCTGCCTTTCAATAATATATAAATCTTCAAAAAAACACAAAAAACCCTCATGATAGTGCATCAAAATACCTTCACCTGTTTTTCATATTAATAACATCATCTTCACAGAGAAAGAAGTTGGTTCCTAGATCCCATGCCTGGCATTTTTCTGTATCATGGATTGTAAGTGCCTACAAAAAAGAAGAAAGTGTTGGTGGAAGTTAGGAACAACACAGTGATATTCACTTCTCTAATACTATTTAAACTTTTTAGTTGTATTATTATTTAAACCTATTTAGTTGTATTGTATATGATATGATTAGGTATAATATCATTATCTGGAAACCTTAATAAATTGAATGGAAAGCTACTTTATTATTATTATTTTTATTTTGATAGGTAGAGTTATAGACAGTGAGAGAGAGAGAGAGAAAGGTCTTCCTTCTGTTGGTTCACCCCACAAATGGCCGCTACGGCCGGCGCGCTGCACCGATCCGGTGGTGCCAGGAGCCAGGTGCTTCCTCCTGGTCTCCCATGCGGGTGCAGGGCCCAAGCACTTGGGCCATCCTCCACTACCTTCCTGGGCCACAGCAGAAAGCTGGACTAGAAGAGGTGCAACCGGGACTAGAACCCTGAGCCCATATGGGATGCCGGCGCCACAGGCGGAGGATTAACCAAGTGAGCTATGGCGCCAGCGGAAAGCTCCTTTAAATCATAAGAGAATTTAATAAAAGAAGTTTGTTACAAAAATCAACATACAAAAATCCAGAAAATTCTTGTAAACAAACACTTCAATTTATATTCTGTGTTCCAAGTAAGAAAGAAAATTGAAGGTGGCCAGCGCTGTGGCGTAGTAGGTTAAACCTCCGCCTGCAGCACTGGCATCCCATATGGGTGCCAGTTTATGTCTTGGTTGCTCCTCTTCTGATCTAGTTCTCTGCTTATGGCCTGGAAAAGCAGCAGAAGATGGCCCAAGTCCGGGGGCCCCTGCACCCTCGTGGGAGACCTAGAAGAGGTTCCTGGTTCCTGGCTTTGGATCTGTCAAGCTCTAGCAATTGCAGTCATTTGGGGAAGGAACCAGCGGGTGGAAGACCTTTCTGGTTTCCCCTCTTAGTGTCTGCAACTCTGCCTCGCAAATAAATAAATAAAGTCCAATAAAAAAATAAGAAAAGAAAGAGAAAAATATTTGTAACTTACATCACAGGCCATAAACCTTATAGGAAAAGGGGAAGTATATGAACAGGGAGTATATTGAAAAAGAAATACACACGGCATTTGAAAATATACAAAAATGTTTGAACTTTCTTAGTAATGAATTATCTTTTCTCACTCATCACATTGGCATAAACCCAAGTTTGACAACATATTCAACTGATTAGAGTAAGATGAATCAGCTACTCCCATACAATACATTACTGCTGGAAATGTGAAGTGGTTCACCCTCAAAGGGGAGAAATGTTGCAATTTCCAGCAAAAAGACATGCGCATGTAACCTTAAACTAAGCAATTCCACTTTTAGGAAACGATCTCAAAGACACATGGAGAAAAAAAGAGAAGTAGGTCTAAGGATTTTCAATGCAACACTGTCACTGAGAACAACCAAGATGTTTACTAATGCAGAATACTTAATATAACATACTATATTCCACACAATGTATATCCATGCAACTATAAAATATTATATTTACAAGATATTTACTCACTTACCTTAATCCCAGCAAGAACAAGATTCTTTGCTATAAAGGAAAAAGAAAAAGCTTTACATTAGGAATGCATATTAGATATGTCTTTGTGAAGATTGGTAACATCTTTGACAGGATAATTTTAACTTTTTTTACTACTTAGGAAATACAGTCTTCTTGTAAAAATGTTTCACAAATTAGTAAGAAGGAGGGAAAATATAATTTTGTATAATTACATCACCCTGAGATAATTACTCTTAAGATTTTAGTGTGTTTTTTAAGACATGTTTTTCTGAATATATGTATGAGTGCTTCCATGATGAATTAGCAGATACAAAAAATGATCATTAGTGATTACTAATAGCACAAAAAACAATGAGAGTCATAATTGGTACCTATGGAAGAATATAACAGTATCATGAAAGAGTCTTGTCTTCCTATTACAGGAAATATAAGGAGTCAAATTACTTAAAATTATTTTGCTCAAGAGTCTCACTCAAAATTATGAATAAAAATATTGCTTACCAATTTCCAAACCGAGACCACCCATACCACTTAAGAAAACATGGGACTTGGCCATCTTCTGCATTGCTGTGTCTCCAAGAACATACCTCTGGCGACTATACATAAGATACAATGAAAAATAAAAATAGTATTTTATCAAACTTATTTATCCTTTAAAGGTGTCTGCAAACTGATAGCTAGGCAGTAAATCTTGCCCACAAACTTATTTTAGATGATTTGCAAGGTTTAAAAATTTCCGACTTAATTTCCAAATATGACATATTTGGAAAAAATTACATGATTTGGTACCGTGATCCACATTTTTTCCAGGTAACAGGCAAATGTAGGTGAGTAAGAGTTTCTCTCTTTAGAATATTATGCACTGCAGACCTGCCACAGTTCTATATCATCCTGCTTCTCATTTATTACTTTAGTGGTCACAACAGGCATTTGAGTTTGCCATCTCCATTTTGAAATGTTCACTACAAACAAGATTTTGGAGGCAAAAAAATTGCTCTACTAAGAGTTCAGGTGGGTTGGCAATTTTTGCACATTACTTTAATTGTATAAGTATACAAAGGACACTTAAGTTATGCATCCTAAGACATAACGTAGTATCAGAATGGGAATTTCAAAATATACATTAGCAACTTTGGTAAGACAGAAAGATGAATAAAGTCAACAGTAAGTGTTTATCTGAAACAACAATGGGAAACTCAATGCTATATCAGTTCCTGAATAATATAAATTCCAATACATTCTTGTAAGAATCATTTGAAAGTTCAGTATAAACAACAAATACTTTAATCCTTCATGGATTACAAGTGTTTACTTTTGGAATTAATACACACACACACACACACATTTAGTGCATGTTAAAAAATATTTGATTTTTCTACTACACAATTTCATATTCAACATAAAAGCCTGCAAATTGGTTTCTTGTTCATATGAAACTTTAGAATCTTTGTCATTTACTCCCTTGTTGTTACAAGATACAATAAAACCTAAATTCTTCTTTTTAAATCAATGCTAAAGATTTGCTTTAGATAGTAAAAACTACTCATTATTAGTCACTGAATAGATATACTCTGTATATAATCTTTTCACTTTTACATGTGTATTCCTAAACAATATACTTATTTTTGTCCGATTTTAACATTTATATAGATGGGATCACTTTGAATGTCGTCTTCTGTGTTTAATTTTGAATGAAATTATGTGTTTTATTCAGAATTATGCATGTAGCTCATTATTAATTTTTATTTCTGTTGTATTTTACTACAGTATTTTATTGTAGCAATATACCCCCAGAATTACATCTACTAATTCAGACATATTATCCTTTGTTTCAAAAATCTCAATGGTTTCCTATTTATCTTCCTTATAAAAAAGTCTAAATTCCTTAATACTAGTCACAAGGTCATTTGTAATTTAGGTCCTACTTAGCCCTGCTCTCATCTTTTGTCACTCCTCTTTCAAACTCCATGTTCCAAATGTATTAAAATGTTAGGATGGTTACAAAAATGTCACTAGTCCAAAGCAGTTTCCCAGCTTCATTATAATCACTGCATATGTAGTCAACACTGACTAAACATTGTTATGCAGTGCATGACTGTAGTTGACAAACCTAGTATCCTATCAAAATCAAAACTGGAGAGGGTATTTAGGATAGTGGTTGAGCTACATTACAAACGAGATTGGGAGCATTCAGGGTGGTATGGCCGTAGACTAAGCTCCATTACAGATGCCAGCACTGCATACTGGAACGCCTGGGTTTGAGTCCCAGGTCTGTTCCTAATTCTAGCTTCCTGCTAATGCATACCCTTGGAAGCAGTCAGGCTCAAGTACCTGGGTGCCTGGCTCCTGCAGGCAGTTGTGGTGTAAACCAGTAGATGGTAGATCTCTACCTGTTTGTCTGTCTCTCACATAAAAATGAAAAAAAAGAAATAAATGAATAAAAATTAAAAAAAGAGGAGTATGGTGTACACAAGGGGTGATTATGATTATAAAAACAAAACTCTAAGCAAACTAGTACTAGAAGGGAACTTCCTCAACCTAACAGAGAACATCTGTAGAAAGCCTACAGCTAGCATACTGCATTATAAGAGAATCAATGTCTTCCAGCAAAGATGAGTAAGAAGGCAAGATGTCCATGTTCATCACTTCCAACACCTCCATGGGTTTTGACAGCAAGGGGGAAAATGACTCCATGCTAATACTCATGCTGCTAGCATGAGTAATCTTTTACTCTTGAGAAATCTTTTCCCCACCCTGAACTTTCACATCTTCTGGCAGCATCTGCTAAAATATAATAGGCTAGTTTTTAGTTACGGAAAAATAAAATACCAGACCTTGAAAATACAGGTAAGGTTTGAAAAGGCTGAAAAACAGGATCAAGAGTAAATTGTTAGGGAGTAACATGAAGGTTAGAAAGAAAGACATAGCCATCGCTCATCAGAAATAATAACTAAAACTACTGAAATTCTCAGGACTTCTGTTCATTAATTTGTAATTTGTTCAGTTTTCTGTTTAAATTTTTGAATGAATAAATATACTTTAAAAATGAAGGAATGAAAACCATTAGGTTTAAGAGGGGTCACACACTGATAAATGGTGGGGGATTCAAACTTAGATCTAATACTAAAATTTATACTCTCAGCCACTCTGTTATTCTAGAACCAAAATGGGGATTCAATGCATATTAAACAGTTTGGTCTCATCAATATAGATGATACAGAACAATTTTCACTTTGGATAGAGTGTAGAAAACTGATTAGAGATGAGTAATTCTAAAGAGATAAGAGACTATTATAATAGTTCAATTGACAGGATGCTAAATGTAGTGGGAAGAGAAACAAAACACTGGTATTCTGGAAGCCACAGGAAAGAGTTTCTTCTAAGATTCCACCAAAAGAAACAAGTTTTGATACTATTAAGATAGTATTACATCCAGAGAACTAGAAATGCTTTGATATTTTGCCCTTCACAAAGTGATCTCTACACAGAAAACTATATGCAAGAAGTAAGAGAAAAATAGATCAACATACCATTTTATTCAAATCTGAATCAGTCTTATTAATCTCCAGCAGAGGGTTCTTTGGGAAAAGTAGAGTTAGAAAACCAAGGGTAGAGTACTAAATGGGGACTAATTCATTTCTTCAGATAAATTTTGGGATCAGCAGGCTAAGGAAAATCTTCAGAGGGAAAGAAAGAAATGATCAGATCTAGAAAGAGTAGGCTTATGTCCAATTCAACCAACAATTTGTAGTCAATAAAGGAGGGAGGGGAGACATAGCTGAAAATGACATCAGAGATGGCCCCAAACAAAACCTCTTTAAATGCTGAGAAAAAGTTTAGATTTAGTTGATTAGTACCAATGAGGTGGCTAAAGACTTAGTATCTAATAGGTCTGGCACTGTGGTACATGTGTTAAGCCACCACTTGCAACACATGCATCTCCCACTGGAATGCCAGTTGGAGTCTTTGCCTACCTCACTTCTGATCTAGCTTCTTGTTAAAGCATTTAGGAAAGAAGAGGAAGATGGCTTACATCCTTGGGCCACTACCCACCCATGTGGGAGACCCAGAAATAGTTCGGTCTGGCCCAGCCCTGGTTGTTGTGGCCATTTGTGGAGTGAGCCACTGGATGGGAGATTTGTATCTCCCTCTCTGTAAATCTGACTTTCAAATAAACAAAACTAAAAAAGAAAGAAAAAGATTGAGTATTAATAAGAAAATAAAAAATTGGGGGGCCTGCGTTGTGGCAGAGGTTAAGCTGCCATTTCCAATGCTAGCGTCCAAAATGACATGGATCTTGGCTGCTCCACTTCCAACCCAGCTCCCTGCTAATGCACTTGGGAAAGCAACAGAAGGTGGCCCAAATCCTTGGGTCTCAGCTCCCAAGGGGGAGACCTGGATAGAGGTCTAGGCTCCTGGATTCAGAATGACCCAGCCCTGGCTATTGATGCCATTTGGGGAGTGACCCAGAGTATGGAAGATTTTCTCTCCCTATCTGTAACTTTTCTTTCAAATAAATAAATAAATCTTAAAAATAAATAAATTTTTTTAGAAAGATACCTTGTTCAATTGAGTATATTTAAATTGATCTAAAATATAGGAGACTTCAAAACGTCCATGGAAAATGAAGTTAAAGAGATTGTATTTTGTGTAAAAATTTTTGAAATACATACACATTCCATTCATATTTCCTAATTTCATAACTTATAGGGTCTTCAAAAAATTCACAGCAAAGGTACATTATGAATAAACTACATTGGATTTCAATTTTTTGACATCAAAATAAACTTATATTTTAATTCCATTTCCTATGAACTTTCTGAAGTCCCTTAATATATACAAATATTAAAAAATTTTAGGGCTGGCGGTGCGGCTCACTAGGCTAATCCTCCGCCTTGCGGCACCGGCACACAGGGTTCTAGACCCGGTCGGGGCGCCGGATTCTGTCCCGGTTGCCCCTCTTCCAGGCCAGCTCTCTGCTGTGGCCAGGGAGTGCAGTGGAGGATGGCCCAGGTACTTGGGCCCTGCACCCCATGGGAGACCAGGATAAGTACCTGGCTCCTGCCTTCAGATCAGCGCGGTGGGCCGGCCGCTGCGCGCCAGCCGCGGTGGCCATTGGAGGGTGAACCAACGGCAAAGGAAGACCTTTCTCTCTGTCTCTCTCTCTCTCACTGTCTACTCTGCCTGTCAAAAAAAAAAAAAAAAAAAAGGGCCCCTGCACCTGCATGGGAGACCCAGAAGAAGTCCTGGCTCCTGGCTTCGGATTGGAGCAGTTCTGGCCGTTGCAGCCATCTGGGGAGTGAACCACTGGATGGAAGACCTCTCTTTCTCTGCCTCTCCTCTCTCTGTGTAACTCTGACTTTCAAATAAATAAATAAATCTTAAAAAAAAAAAAAACTTTTAGCTATTCAATATCTGTAAACTTTCTTAAAGTTTTAGTTTTATAGCAAAATCTGCTTGTTTAGAAGCAGACACAATTATCCATGTTTGGAGAAAGCTTACATAACTAATGGAAGGGCTGGTGCCCCAGCTCACTAGGCTAATCCTCTGCCTTGCAGCGCCGGCACACCGGGTTCTAGTCCCGGTCGGGGCACCG